CCTTAATTCCTGGTGCAAGGGGTTGCAACTTGCAACTCAAAAGGTGGTGCTGGATTTGAAGGGGGGTGGGTGAGGTGGGACGGATATCATTAAGAGGTGGAGGACAGGGGTCTGAACCGGCAGCATTCAAGGTGGGGGTTGAGGGGTTACGTATAGGGAGAAATGGAGTTGAAGAGTTAACAAGGTAGTGAAGGGGTGCACACAGCAGGGCATAGCAGCCTGAACAAAATTGTGGCTACAGTGGGAGAGCGGGAGGAGGGGCACGGTCCGTTGCCAGTGAGGAGGGCATATATTCAATAGGATCTCACAGGTCGTGACAGGGCTACGTAGGGATGGTGGTACAGTGCCTTAGAAGCAGGGGTTCCCTGGTGCTATATTTATAAAGTTCGCATGAACTTGACCCGTTTCCCCACTAGATACCCGCTTTCTTAGCATGGACTTGGCAACAGAGGGGCCTTGCCCTTATCTGAACAGGGAGGAGCAGGATTGAGCATGTTGATGTTGTGAGGACCCCGGCCTCAATATCTTTCATTAGTAATATCAGCCTTGGGCACTGGGCCCGTTTAAAAAAAAAAAAAAGAAAAGAAAAAAAAGGATTGAGCATGTTGGAGGGGAACTCGAAAGGAAAATTTTGGTGGTGGGGGGTGGGATGTGAGTCAATAGGGAAGATCGACAGCTCAAATGATGGCACCTTAACAACGGGCTGATGTCGTAACAACAAGTGGAAGGGGTGCATGAGGGGAGCAATTGAGCACGAACGTGCTGATACAGTTGCGCCTCGCGCTGGCGACGGCGCAGGACCTGCACAGCGATGGTATCAGATGCTGGCGGGTATTTCTATCGCACTGTTTCAGTCTGTGCTGGTGTTGAAGTGGTGAGACATTTTACTCTACATCGTCTTGCCATCCGTTTCGGTGATAGGTGCTCGTACTCTCTGCGGTGAGTTGAGGCAGAAGTCATGGTGGGTATGACGGTTTCAAGGTGCTCTAAGATGGTTCAGTGTGTGCTCGTACTGGTGCTTCTCTACAAGAAGGGACTTAGTGTTAGGATGGAGAGCAGTATGTTAGAGGTGCTTTCTCTTCAGCGCAGAGTAGGGGTGGGATGACTATATATTTGGGGGCAAGGCGTAGGTATGGCCTCCATGTATGCTCGAATGAGTATGGTGGTATCAGCGAGGATAGCCTCCTGAAGAGTCCACGTGCGGTGTGGACGAAACGCGTCGAGGATTGGCCTCTTGGTGGTGGTTTGATATACGTGGTGTTATTCGGCTTTCTTGTGTTCGACACTTTGTTCTCTTAGCGCCATGTATGTATGTTTGTTTGCATGCGTAACGGAGTGATATTATTGGTGTACCTTTTGTCTCCGTTCTCATGCTGAGGCGGTCTTGCCAGGCTGTCCTATCTCTTCTTCTTCTCTTGAGGGGAATAGCATCATGGCTCCAGCAGTAGGGCCTGGGTCCAAGTGGGGCATATAAGGGGACAAATGACTCAAGTGAGGGGAAGGGGTTGTGACGAGGAAGGGGCATGTGGAAAATTGTGGCTTGAAGGAGTTCAAGAGAATGCCGCTATCGCGTCTACAAGCTGATCAATGTAATTTGAGCCATGCTTCACGCCTTATATCTTATTGCAGGGTCCCAGAGACAGGGCAGTTGGCTGTTGCGAAGGGATCAGAGAACTACGTAGAACTGGAAGAGAAGGGTCGGGAAATCGTGGCTTGAAGAAGGGAGAAGGGCCTGATAAGAGACAGGCTCCGTCGTTTAGGAACAATGCTGTCCCCTTTAGACAGGTAAAAACACTTGGATGGGGGGCAAGAAAGATCTTGAACTCCACTTGTGTGCACCCAAAGCGACTTCCATGATTTTGACAAGTCGATGACACCACCAGTCACACCACATTATTAATATGATGCTATCTTTGCATCAAGACTCGAGATGGTCGTTGATTGTTGACAACAAGAACAAATTGGGATTATATTTGAGTCGGGCCTCTCGAGAACGATTGAAAGAAATTCAGGAAGTAAGGTTGGACAACTCACTGAATCATCTGCTGGTTTGTCCTTAGAAGTTCTTGTGCCTCCTCGAGTTTTTGCCGATAATCGTCTACCTGGAGAAAAAAATTGCGGTCCATTGTGACAAGAAGTCGAGGGAGCTTTGTCATTTCAGCGTCAGGCCCTCAGCAAGAAAGTTGAAATAAATACAAAACGCAGGAGTTTCTTTGACTCACAACCATTGTGAATTGCTTGGGTCAAACATGGCGTATAGTCATCTTCTTAGCTTAAACCACCACTCTGCCCCAGGGGCAGTTTTCTCCTGAAGGAACCTCCCATCGAGTATGAATCGAACTGGCCTCAGCCAGGCTGGTGCATCCAAAGCGCCGTCTCCACGTATACCAGCCGACACGCCCAAACTGTATGGAGAGACTGGTGGCGTTAGCCCAAGGAGAACACACACACACACTGGTGGCGTAAGCCCAAGGAGAACACACACACACGCACAGACACACACACACAGAGAGAGAGAGAGAGAGAGAGAGAGAGAGAGAGAGAGAGAGAGAGAGAGAGAGAGACTCTTCCTCATTACCGATGCACTTAGCAGGTGGCCTGGATTGGATCTAGCATGGGAGGGATGGAAACTAGTCTAGTGTAGGGTAGGCAGTAAAGCAAGGACTACCTAGCAGCTATTCTGAATCTGGGTAGAGTTGATGCAGTTCTCAAAGTACTAGCTCAGGACCTAACCACTGCTGTAGACGAGACCTATATAGTTTTAAGAATTGGCCATATGTCCAGTCTGCCAGTGAACGAGAAATGTGGGGACATGCCAGCCCACCCGGTTCCATTGTCCAGAGCCCGTGTAAACAGACTGTCCCACTCCTTATACTTTTGGCCTGGGCACATTCACTCACCATGCTGTGAATTGCTTGTCTCCTTTTCTTTTTCTTTCTTTTTTTAAGGAGGGGAGAGGGGTGGGGGGGGTGGGGGGGGGTGTCTGGTTGTTTCTTTTATGGTGTTCTTTTGTCCTTGCTAGAGGTGCACTTATTGTGGACAGGTGTGCACAGCAAATTGATTGTGAAGCTGTTATGTGCACTGACTATGGTGGAAGAAGCCACCATCACCTCTGCTGGTTCATAGAGGCTATGCCGCTATAGGGGTTGAGCTGATATGATAGGAGACTCTTTGAGAGCCTTCTGAAGATGCTGGACCCCAAAGAGCTCCCTGGGAACATGAAGACAGTCTGCTTGATGTGTGAATGTTTAGAACTGAGACTTTCAAAAAAAAAAAAAAAAAAAAAAAAAAAAGAGACTTAAAACCACCAGTACATGGCCCAGGCCCAACATGCGAATCGAAATCGGCATCCGCTCATTGCGAAATGATCAGAGGCTCGGGTCTTCCAGTCCAAAATGACTGGCGGCACCAGCCCAAATAAACGAAAAAGCCCCGGGCTGGCGTTTCAGCAAAGCTTGGCGCACAGGAGGAATCTCCCTCGGCAAAACGAGGATTGGATGTACTGGTGGTTTGACCTCAGCAGCAGGAGGAGGAGGAGGAGGAGGGAGGTGGTGCGACTATATCTGTTTATTGACGTCTTTCGCGCGTCATCTTTGCCCATCTCTGTGTTGATTAACGTCTTTCGGATGTCATCATACTGTCCATCCTCTCCTGTTCTCCAGAGTGCGTAACTCTTAAACTCTCCTGTATACTCTTAAAATATGCGAGGCTACGCCCGCTTAGCCCCTACGGGGCCCTATCTGCAACAAGGTCGGCCGCCCTAAGTGAAGGCAGGCACGACAGGCCCTTCGGGCCTCATTCTTCAGGGTACCCCGCAACGGGGAAATTCAGACAGTTGCGTTGCGCCAGTTGGTTGAATGAATCCAGGCCCTGGGCCGCCTGTGTAAATGAATGTGAAGCAGGCCCTGGGCTGGATACGGGTACCAGGCCAAACACAGGCCGAAAGCAGTTGGGCGCATGCAACCACTTCAGGCCCAAGGCCTGCTCTCTTCGTGACTGGGCCTGTGCCTACCGGGGCCTACCGGAAGCTTCCTGGACTGGACGCAGGCAGGCCGCTTCGATATAGGGAAGGGCCTGACTCCTCATTCGGGATTCGGGTGCTGGCTGCATGCTGCGTGAGCGCTGCTGCGCAATCCGCTGGCTGGCTGGCACTCACGCTCTCACGGGCGAGTAGGAGGGAGCACGCAGCCATAGCCAAGCTGCGCTGCTGTATGCTAGGTGAAGCACAGGGTGGTCCTTGGGGTGCTAGTGGCATCTGTGCGGTGTGGATCGGGGTTGTGAGTGTTACGAGAGACATACCTGGTGCTGAAGYGTGCGACATTGGTCGCCATATGCTCGTACTTCGGGAACGCTGTTGATGTCATCATTCTGCTTCGTAGTATAGGCTAGATAGGATCTGCCACCTGTAGTCTGGGCGCCGAGCGCCAATAGGATATCAACTCTGGTTCGTAGTTGATGATGATGGGACTACTTCGGCATTGTCAATTTTGAACTCTTGGTGTGTTCTTATTTGGTGWATCTCGTGATGCCAGTCTGCTGTGGTTCGAGGTCAAAACTATCTGGGCTCATATGTATGATGCGGTTTGATTGCTGAAGTTCGCTAATGCTCATCTTCCTTGCAATTTGGTATCGGAGCTGTGGTACGATTGCGCTCATCTGGCGCTTGTCTTCTGCCTTATACGGTACATACATGCGGTCTGCTGGGAGAGTTTGGCCGTAAGTGGTGTGTAGTGAGGAGGGTGGAGACGAGTGTGAAGGCGACCCAGGTGGTGAGGTGCATCGCCTGGAAGGCTGAGGTGTGAATATTGGGTGTTCGCAGTGTGATGAGAACTATCTGTTTGGTGATTGAGGCTGAGGTGGAACGGCGAAATGCTGGTTGTGCCGATGCTGTGACTGGTCATCGCAATCATCTTCAGGTCATCTGGTGAGATTATCTCTGTGGTTGGGGGCAGCATGAACGAGGTACGTTGCTCTTAACCTTACCTACCCTCTTCATCACTTCTTACCGTGAGGTTGTGAGTTCTGTCTTGAGAGTCCTCTCATCGTGAGGTGTCGTGTGCGCTCAACCTTGAGAGTCGTGATTGTTCACGTGGAGCATCTGGGGGAAGACGGGCGGAGCTGCTTGAAGGGCCCTGGACGAAGCACTGGGTCACGGTCACCATGCCAACCCACTGGGTGTAGTACACGCCTGCTTCGCTGCAAGTCGTTGGCTCTGCTGCTTGCGCATGATAGGGGTTAACTCGAGTGTGGCAGCCTCTACAGACGCTTACCAGACCGTCTATAAACATTTCTGGCTGGGGACTCGGCTCTGATCTGGCTGTGATCGTCGTCCTGCTGCGACGTAAAATAATTCCTGATGTCACTTGGGGGCGGACGTTAAATTGCCTCTTGATCAGCCAGATCATCCGAGTGGAAGGCTCGTTGAAGTACGAGGGTAAATAAGAGTGTTGTGGCTGCCTTGCTCGACGATAACCCGGGGCACAGGGGTGGGACCGGATTGCACACCTTTGAGACACGCTTG